GACATGATACTTATCAGTGGAGTTTATAGCTAAATGTGATGTTGGGAAGTAAAGGCTGGTTGGAGGAGGTGAGTCACTGGGGCCATGGCCTAGAAGGGTCTATCTCCCTCTCTCTCTCTCTCTCTCTCTCTCTCTCTCTCTCCCCTTCCTGTCTACCATGCCATGAGCAACCATTCACCACTATGCCCCTCTGCCAAGCCACCTTGCCTTGGAGCCAGCTGACTATGGACTGAAACCTCTACAAACTTGAGCCAAAATAAATCTTTCATCCTTTAATGTGCAAGTGTTGGGTATTGTCTCTCAGCAATGAGAAAGTAAACAAGACACCAATCTAGAGAGGACTCAGGGTCCCTATAAAATATTCTAAATTTCATCTGACCAGCCTTTGATGTGACATCTTGCCCCGAGTCTAAAAGTTGTAAAGCAGCATTATATTCATTACGAGGTCATCAAAAATTGATGGCTCCAAAAGTCAGCCTTATAAAACTTCAAAATCTCTTGTAAATATGAGTCAGAGTCTGAGTAATAAGCTTATTTCTATTATAGGTAATAATGTCATTGCTGGAGTGGGCCATGTTCTGCACAGTAAGTGCTCCCAAATTACATCATGAGAAATCTAATTTTTATAACTAGAACACTATTTTCAGAAGTTGTTGAGAACTTATAGAGAAATATAATAACTTCAGTTATCAAATTTGTTAAATAAATCTGAAACAAACTCTGATGCTTTATATTAGTCACCTTTCCATTGCTGGGACAAAATATCTGACATACGCAATTTAAAGGAGAAAAATTTCATTTAGGCTCACAGTTTCAGAGATAGAAGTCCATGGATAGCTGGATCCAAAGCAGAAATATCATGGCAGAAAGGCTTGGCAGAGGAAAGCCACTCAACCCATAGCTACTGAAAAAAGAGAGGGAGCATGAGCCAGGGAGAAAATAATTCTAGGTCACACACCCAGTGACCCACTTCCTCCAATCAGACCCTGTCACCTAACAGCAAATTCAGCTATGAACTCACCAAGAGATTAATCCCTGATAAATCTAGGGCCATGATGATCTAGTTGTCTTCCAAAAGTCCCACCTCTAAACACTGTGGCATTAGGGATCAAGCCCCAAATAAGTCAGTCTTTGGGAGACTCTTCATATTTAAACCATAAACAAAGGTCTGTTTTATGTTCATGCTACATCACAGTTGGCTGGGGATTCTATTCAAGATCTCCTTCCAGGATGCAGCCAAACAGGACAACAGCTGCCTTCATGAATATTGTTGGTCATCATAGAAGAGAAAAAAGAAATCTATGATGGCTTCAGCCTGAAGTTAAATGCTCACTCTAGAAATGATGTATATGCACACATCATTGAATTGTATGTGCACAACTCATTGGCTAGAACTTGTCAAATGGCCCAAACCTACTTCAAGGGGCCAAAAAGTGCAGTGCAGTCACATTCCTCAAGGGAAGCACTACAAATATGTGGCAAGCACCAATGATTATCATAATCTCTTTTGAAAGTCCTAAGCCTGAACCTTTAGGCTGTGTGCTTGGTTGCAAAAGAAGAGCTCAGACATAAGGGAACAGCTGGAAAAACAGTTGAATGAGCAGCACCCACAGGAGCTTATGGGTCAGTTGCACTTACATCCAAACCTCATGCTTCCTGCCTCTCCCAGGCCATGTTGACATCCAGTCTCAAATTCACTGACCATCCCAGGCTCCTTCTGGGTAAGCTGCAGACGTTCAGGGATTCTTGCCTTTTAGTACCAGAAACACTAAGCAAGAGATCAGAGGGAGCAGGGTGGCAGTGGTGTTAGAGCAAAGGAAAGTGGAGATTTCTTAGGACCACAGATTATTACATCACATAGAGCAATCCATTACAACTAGTACAAAGTCATTACTTTAAGTTCCCTAAATCTTCTCTGTTATGAGCACTGCAGGACCAACAAGAGAAATTACTGTCCCTGCTCTTGGGGAATTTATAATCTTTGAGGGTACTATTGGCTTGTATTGTCATTATTTTTCTCAGTGACAAATGCATGGTACCAATATTGTCATTGGCATTTGGATAAGTCAGAATCTGCTGTGGGTTTGATTGGAATGGAAAGATTTCAGTGGAAGAATCAGGACATGGGCTTGCCTGGGAAAGATGAGGGGGCTTTTGGTCATGAGAGGAGTCTGAGGAAAGGCACAAGAGTGGAAATTCTCATGCCTACTCACAACATAAAGAGTAGGGTGCAGATGGAGCCATCATTACAAACGGAGGGAAGCCCTTGGTTATTGGTCCAAGGGATGTTGTCTTTATTCCTTCTGCAAACAGGCTGAGGACTAGCTTACCAGAAGTTGCTTTGAAGCCGATCCTGTCTCTGGTGGAAAAGTAGACAAGGCATCATTACACGTGGCTGTGCATTAGCATCTACACTCACCCTTACCCCAATCTCTGTATGGTACTTGTTCAAAGTAGGCCTTCTTTTTTAAAAAAGATTTCCCTATCATAGAGATATTGATTTAGTTGACCTGAGATCTAGAAATCCATGAGCTTCACAAGCTTCCCTAGAAACACTAATGGCACATGTCTGAGAACCAGGCTCTGTGATCACTACCTAGAAATGGCCCTGGCACAGCTGATGCAACAGGTCAAAAACGGATATTTTTCAAAGGACACTCCTAAACACTGCTCTTGTTTCTGATCACCTTGTTTCTGCTGCAGGCGTGCCTCCCTTCAGACTCAACACTTTTGTGCGATTCCCAAACTCCTCACAGGAGATCCACAGCCCATGGGTGATCAGCCTCACTCCACACCCTTTGCAGTTCTCTCAGTTCTGTTCCCTCCTCTCTGTTCTCACAGCTGCTGCAGTTAGTTTCACCTGCTGCCTGGATTCTCGAAGTAGCCTCTTTCCCTTCTGTACCCCTCCTGTATTCTATCTTCTGCCCTCAGGTAGGTCTTCTATCAGCACCAAGACTGGGTTATTCCCTGCTCAGCCAGCTATCAAGCCTGAGGACAGTTTAAGTGCCCTAATATTTGTTTTTACTTTAGAGTGGGTCTCACTTTGCAGTTCGGGCCCTTGAGCTTGCTGTGTGATCCAGGCTGGCCTCAAACTCACAGCAATTGTACTGCCTCAGCTTCCCAAGCGCTGGTGGTGTGCCACCATGCCTGATTTAGTGCCCTAACATTTGAGTTATCATGATATGGTTCAGCCTATGCTGGCTCTTGGATGGTGAGTACTCTGTATTAAAGGCTTGGTCCCCAAGGCAGCATTGGAGAGAAATGAAAGTGGGAACCAATGGGAGGTCATGAAGTCATTAGGGGTATGGCCTCAAGGGGATCATGGGATCTGGCTCACTCCTCACTCTCTTGTACCTCCTGGCCATGAGAGGAGTCACTGTGCTCCCCAGAATGACCATCCAGCATCCCCACCAGAGACCTAAGAGCAGCCCTGGCCAGCCCAATCATCAATGGGAACCTCTAAAACAGTGAGCCAAAGGAAACTTTTTCTTTTCATAAATTATATATCTCAGGATGCCCTACCAAGGTCTCGAGTCTCGCGGAACTTGCCGAATCAGCCCGCCACAGACAGGCAGCCACCTGGTTCCACACTACAAAGACACGGAGGACACCGGACCACCAGACCACGGTACTGGGTCCCGCCGCTCCCAGCCCAGAGGTAGGGGCTTCTGAGCCACCATCCCACTGCTCCTGGTCCAGAGGAAGGGGCTTCCCGGCCACCATCCCTCCCGCTGCCCCCAGCCCAGAGGAAAGGGCTTTTGGGCTGCCTTCTGTCCAGCCGCTCCCGGCCCAGAGGAAGGGGCTTCTGGGCCACCATCCCTACCGCCGCTTCCGGCCCCTGTCCCACCTCTCCCAGCTCAGAGGAGGTGAGCCACGCGGGCACCAACAGCACCCCCTGCCCCCCCAGTCAAAATAAGAAAACACGTAAACAAGTCTCAAAACCAGACTTCCAGATCACCTACAGCAACCCCAAAGGGAAACGAGATGGAACAATCTAATACTCAACCACCTGGACCCACTGAACTGGCAACAAAAGGGGATCTGGGAAAAATGAAATCAGAAATAATTTCTCAGATAACAGGAGAAGCTGTGCCCCTAGTGCAAGACATGATTAATAAATCTAGAGAGGAGCTGAGGAACACAAAGAAGAACCCCTCTGGGACGCTCCCCGGTGCACTTCGGGCCCAGGCTGCAGAGTAAGAGGGAAGCGTTACGACCCAGGTGCTGCACCGCGAGGCGCGAGGCGAGGCAAGCAGGCTGCTGCCGGGCCATTCTGAAAGGCAATGCACGCGCATCGCCACGCGGGGGAACCATACCAGGATCCTTCCATCCGCCTTCTCCCGTTAGTCTCTTAACGAGTTTCAAGTATTTATTTTCTTCTCTTCAACTAAAAATACTCTTATTACAAAAATATGAATTGAAAAGTCACAAAGTGCATTTAAAAAGCCTGTAGTCTCCCTATTAAAGAAAACTGCTTAAACTATGTTAATGTATATGTTTCCATACCAATTTAAACATTATATGTTATATATGTTATACATCTATATTTATATTACTGTATTTCTAGGTATAGTATAGAAAACCATTTGCCGTGTAGACACACATTGTAATTATATATACACATTTATTTTTAAGACAAAAATGGAATCCTTCTGGATGGATTTCTCAATATATCATGAACATCCTTCCATAGCAAGTTAATTTTGCTAAAATAATTCGTAAATGATGGCATTGTGTTGCATTATCCCATTAAAAATAATTACTGTAATAAACACATAGAAAATTCTATTTTTTCCACCGAAAAGCAATAGCACGCATGAGCCACAGGTGTCCAAACCATGAAGCCCAAACTTCCGGCCCAGGACTCAGAGCCTCGCGAGTGACCGCGCTGGGCGCCCAGGCCTCTGTCGCCGCTATCACACGGGGCGGCGCGCTGCGTGGGGAAGTCTGGCTGGCCAGGCTGGTCCTTGAGCAGGGACAGTACTCTGGTGACCAAGCCCTTGTGACCCAGCCGCGGACCACAAGCAGGGATTCGGCGCGCTACGGCCTTGGGTCCGCATGGGTGAGCCGGACCGGATCCGTGGTCTGGCCTCCCGCGGGTGTGGCGGAGCGGGATGGGCGGGGCGCTAGTGGGCGGGGGCTCGCGGAGGGCGGGGCGGGTGCCGGTGCCGTTCGCCTCTCGGCCTGCAGGGGGCGCTGTGCGGCCGCGCTGCCTCCAGGAAGCCTCACGGGCCTTCGTGCCGGGCCGCGGCGCTGGCTCCCAGGATGCAGTGTGGACCGGCCGGGCGCTGACGGCGGTGGCGCGTTGCAGGCGGAGCGGGCAGCTGGCCGGCCACCGAGGAGCGCAGCGAGGAAGGAGGCCGCGTCGCCTGCCTAGAGCTCCGGGCGGCCGCGCCTGCGTGGGTCGCGCGGCAACGACTTCCTCTAGGGCCGGGCCGGGCAGCGCAAGGGCCATGGCCGAGGCGGCAGCGGCTCCGGTAAGAGCGACGCGCGCGCTCGGACCCGCGGCCTGGGGTTCCGGCGGCCCGGGCCCAACGTGCGCAGGCCCTGGGGAGGCGATCAGGGCCCGGGCCGGCCTGAGGCTCGGGCGAGCGGGACGCGGGTTCCTCGGGGCCTACTGGGCCCTCCCGCCGAGCCCTCAGTCTGGGCCGGGCCCTCCACTTGAAGCCGGGTACCCCACTCGGCCAGGCCACGCCAGGCGGAACGGCCGCCCCGCGCCAAGTTCCCGTAGCCCTGCGCGCCGCCCTGTCCCCGCCCCGGCCGCTGTCCCTGAGGTCCCGCGCCCCCGCCCGGCTCCTTTCTCTGCCCAGCGCTCGGCCGGGCTTCCCTCCCCCAGCTCCCCCCAGCGGCCTGGTGGCACCTGGGAGGTGTCCGGCGACGATTCCACAGGCGCCGCGCGCCCGCTATGTCCCCGACCGGCGGGTGTCGAGCCAGGCGCAGCACCCAGCCCCGCTTAGGCATTATGTCGTCCTCCCTACAGACTTGCGGGGTGGGTACTGCTGTTATCTCTGCCATACAAAAAAAAAACAACAAAATAACCCGGAGCTAGAGAAGTTAACTTGCCCCAGATGGACCGCTAGCTAGAAAGGGGGGCGGGGGGGGGCGGTGGCTAGGGACTGGGGGTGCTGGGCAAGCCTACAGGTTCACCGGTAGCAGCTGTGCAGAACAGAAAGGGAAAGGAGCCAGGTGTCCAGGTGGCAGCGAGCAGTGGCGGTGCTCGCCCTTCCTGGCCAGGTATTCTGAGCCTCTGTGATTTGAGCTGGACTTCTTCGGGAGGCTAGTTTCACCAGGCTGGGCTTCTTAGACGGCGGAGCTTTCCAAGGAGAAAGGCTTGGGCAAAGGCACGCAGAGACGGAAAGACCCACGGAGCCCGTGGTGCTGGAAGAGACATTTGGAAGGGGCTGGGAGAACTGTACTTGCTCTTGTGGGTGGGGTGCTATTGAGGGATTTGGCATCCTCTTAGAGGACCTCCTCCTCCCAGCAAAGGGTTCCAAGGCACCGGGCTACTCTGCCCTCCCGTTAGGGGCTGGGCTTCAGCAGAGGACCATCCCTACCTCCCACTGGACAATCCGAAGGCCTCAGAGCCTGGGGGCTCTATGAAATGGTAAGCAAACTGTACCCGTTGTTTAAGTACTAAAGAGGAATAAATTCTTAATAAAATAGGAGTTTGTGCCTGCGCCGGCCTGACAAAATGCAGATTGGATTACAACTGCAAATTTGGAGGGCAGTAGGATTTTAGGGGAGAGGGATCAGATGGTAAAGTACAAGGACGCTTCTGGAGTAAACTCTGGAATCTGGGGTGTGTGCTGGAGCTCATCTTAGAGAGGAGCCTGGGATGGAGGGGGCCACCAAGCCCGCCAAGTGCCAGTGGTACCTTCTACTCCCGCCCGTCAGTCTTCCCCTCAGCACTCAGAGCCCCATCTGAGACCCAGCCAGACACCTACCTTGGTCAGGCAGGTGAAGAACCTCTTCAGCACTATCAGGCAGGTTTCTTCTGCCTCCCTTTGAGCTCTCCCTTTGTCCCTGTTTTTTGAGGCATCCATTAGTGTTCTGGTTGATTCTCCAAATGAGCCTGCGCCAGTTCCTAGAAGTCAATTTATTTTGCAGTAGCAGCCAAGCTTTTGCTTAGGAATGCTTTCCTGGAACCGCATACGGACCTTCTGTATTCAGCCACTGACTGGTGATGGTGCCCATAGCAGCACCTCCTCTGTGCCCAGTGGGTCCACTCTAGATGTGAGTGGGACAAGTAGTCCATCCAGCTCCCCACCCAAAACGTGCTTTCATCAGTGCCCAGCTGCCAGTCACTCAAGCCTCTTGTGGTCATTTCTGATGACCGGGAAGCTTTGTGTTTTTTGATTGTTGCCACACGTATTAAAGGATGACTTCCCGCATGTGTCTATCTTCCCTGCTATACTGGAGGGCGTGTCACTGATCTTGGGGCAGTTACACAAATGTCTAAGGGCCATTGTTTTTACCTTAGGGGAGGAGTGGGAACCAGGAGAGGGGAAATCAGAATCTCAGGGGGTTTGGGTAATGTCCAAAAATCCAGCTCTTGGCTTAGTGAAGATTTGCAACAGTGGTCATTTTAGCTTCTGGGAGAAGGGCAGTTGTGCTGGAATAAAATCAGATTGTCCTGGAGGAAGGGGAATTAGCCATCCAATATTTTGTTTGTTAAAAGAAGATATGAGATGCTTTAAAAGGAAGGCAGGAAGGAAGGAAGGAAGGAAAGAAAGAAAGAAAGAAAGAAAGAAAGGAAGGAAAGAAATTGAGCAACACTCTTGTTTGTGTGGTTTCAGTGGAGCAACTGGGGGTTTCTGCTGGGTCATCATCAGTAGACAGTTCCTGTGTGATCATGATGGGACCGAGTCCAGGCTGGGCTGTAGTAAAGCTACAGTTTACTGCATCTCTGCTGAAACACTCCAGCAGTGCTCAGTCACTGTTTATTTTGCAAAATCACACAGAAGCCCTGCCATGTGTCAAGCCCTGTGCTGTAAAAAGATGTAAGGCCACCTTCAGGGCATTCAGATGTCGAGAGTCACAGGAAATGACTGTACAAGGTGGTAAGCACCAAGATAGGAGGCTGCACAGACACAGGCCCGATCCCAGATGCCCACAAGAGGTGTCGGCCAAGTTGAGATCTGGCACATGGTGCAGGGTCTCTCCACTTCCTGAAGACATGGGCTCTCTGAATCCAGGGGAGATACACTGCCAGAGCACAAACAATGTGATGAGTGATGCTTACTTCTCTCTTCTCTTTCGCAAAGATCTCTCCGTGGACAATGGCAGCTACAATTCAGGCCATGGAGAGGAAGATTGAATCGCAGGCTGCTCGCTTGCTTTCCTTGGAAGGTCGGACCGGGATGGCCGAGAAGAAGCTGGCTGACTGCGAGAAGACAGCTGTGGAGTTCGGCAACCAGCTGGAGGGGAAGTGGGCTGTGCTGGGGACCCTGCTGCAGGAGTACGGGCTGCTGCAGCGGCGGCTGGAGAATGTGGAGAACCTGCTGCGCAACCGGAACTTCTGGATCCTGCGGCTGCCCCCGGGCAGCAAGGGCGAGGTCCCCAAGGTAGCCTTTGGGTGCCCTGGGGTGGAGAGCCTGAGGGCCCTGTAGCCAGCATGTGGGCGAGCAAGTGTGACCCTTGTGGTTCCAGGTACCTGTGACCTTTGATGATGTAGCCGTGTATTTTTCTGAGCAGGAGTGGGGCAAGCTGGAGGACTGGCAGAAGGAGCTGTACAAACACGTGATGCGAGGCAACTATGAGACACTGGTCTCCCTGGGTAAGGCCTGACCCATGCTTCGCATGGAGGAGCACTCCACAAGTCCCTAGGCCTCTCTCTCCATCCTGGGTGTTTCTATCCCACCCATATGTAAAGCCCTGCTTGCTCTGAGTGAGGGGATCTGTCCTCCTCCTCTTCCTGGAGGTGGTGCCGAGGGATGGAGTCAGACACCTCCCCTCTCCTGACCACGCCCAGGGTAGGGACACCTGTGTTCCTGTTGAGACTTGGATTGCAGGAGTCCTGCTCTCAAGTCCAGTTTGCAGTCAACCTCCCATTGGAGATGGACTTCCTGTACTTTCTCTTCCCATCCATACAGACTTTGGCACCATGCCCTAGAGCTCTGCTGCCCAGGAACAACATGCAATCTGCTTCTTCCTGGCTTCTTTCCTCTCAGGATGTTCTAGGTGGGACCTCAGAGTCAAGGGCAATAAGGCCTGTGTATGAGGATGGAGTGGGTCCTATAGTTGGCAGGCGTGCTGCTGCTTAACGTGCAGGCTCTGCACCCTGCCCTGCTGCACTGTGGACCAGATAACATGTTCAGTAGTAGCTCTGGCCGCTGCCCACCAGATCCTCCCTTAGATGCTGTACAAGATTGTCTCCGGACTTGCAGCAAAACTGCCTACTGATGGGAACCACCGCCCACTGATGGGAACCACCGCCCTATACCCATTGTGACATTTAGTCCCTAGACCATTCTTGGTTTTTCAGCAGCCTTCCCCTAGCCCTGAAAGGAAGATGCCAAAACTAACCTTCCTGTCTTTCCTCAGATTACGCCATCTCCAAGCCTGAGGTTCTCTCCCAGATTGATCAAGGGAAGGACCCTTGCACCTGGCGTCGCACTGGTCCCAAGATCCCAGATGTTCCTGTGGACCCAAGTCCAGGTGAAGGGTTGGGAGAAGGTGGGGAGACACCAGGTGATCAGATGAAAATAAAAGAGTAAAGAGCCAGGGCTGATGTTTCTCTTCTTTCCAGAGAAACATCAAATCTCAGGCTTGATTGTTTTAAACCTCAGTCTTTCATAGTTGAGTTTTAAATTCTAACCTGCTTAGCTAGTACTCTTCAATTTAGTACTTTGCATCACGGAAACAGGCAGCAACGCCAGAGTCAGATCCAGCACACGAGTCAGGGGAGGACAGTGAAGGAGACTGACAAGGAAGGGAAGAGGATGTTGAAGACCAAATTCACTTAGAGCTTTGAAAAGAGTCAACCAAACTGCTTTTAACCCTGTTCGGAGTTGCAGAACACAACCCCACTTGCCAAGTGGATGATCCAGTGTGATCAGAACTCTGTATTTATTGCAAGTGAATGTGGATACTGGAATGTGTCTCATATTTCCCTGGAGCCAGTCAGCACCTTTGAAAGTTAAGGAAAGGACAGGGACAGAGGCCTTGCTGGGTTGTTCAACTGGGGAGACCCTGTCTCTGCTCAGCCCCCACTTCCTCCCATGCCTGTTGCCTACCTTGGGTTCCCTTTCCTCTGTGATACCGGCAGTCTTCCTGTGGTTAACTCACATGTCACTCAGTGCCTCACGTGTTTGCCAGTTACCTTTGCACAATATCAGGTCAGTACAGAACTGACCAAGGTGCCAGCTTTCACTGATCCACGTACTGGTTAGTTCAACAAAATGTTCTTGAGAGTCCTCTTGGGGCCAAGGACATTGCTGACACCTGGGAGATGGACAGGTGAAATGAGCAGCACTTCTGCATGGACAAGGTGGGGATACAGGCCACCTCCAGCGTTAAGCCAGAGCAGGAAGGTCCAGGGCTAGCTGTGTGGTTTGAGTACCATGCAGACCTTCCCGGGCCTGTGCCATCAGAGTGACACCCCTTGGCCACACCGTGATTTGATAACAGTCACTGCCCTCCTACATCCTGCATTCCACAGCCACCCCCTGCTGTCCTTCCATCCAGCAGTCTCTCTAGAGCCCTAAGTCCAACAGGTCCTCAGCCTGCAGGACCCACGCACCGTGGTTTCTCCCTCCACCCTCTCTCTGTCCCCACTCATCTTCATGTCCCACCACTGTTGTTCATCATGCACCTCCCCCTTCATGCAGCCTCAACTCCCTTGCCCCCTCTGCTGCCTGTCCCACCTGGCAGGACTGTGGTTCTGGGGGGCCCACCTGCCTGCCTGCTCCACACCTGCAGAAGGCCCTGCCTGTGGCTGAGCACACTGCACAGGCCACTGGTCTCACCCTATGTTCCCGACCTGTGATATCACATGGGCACCCTGTGCTGCCTGGGGTCACCAGCACCACCTCAGCCATGTCACTGGCCCAGGGGTTGGCAACTATGGCTTGTGGACCAAACCGAACCCAGCTCCTCCTACATGGCCTAGAAGCTGAGGGTGGGTTTTGAATTTAAAAGATCTTTTTTTGGTTTTAAAAAGCCCCACACTCACAATCTGCTCTCTACCTGCACCTGTGCCCACCTCTGTACATCCATGCCTGTGGCTCTGCTCACCTGCCCCAAGACCTCCTTCTGCCCAGGCCTGGGTCCTATTCCAAGCCAGCCTCTCAAGGGCAGCAGAAGATCCCACCCTAACATCGCACTGCTCCCATGGCAACCTGTTTCTCTGCCCTCCTTTAGGGCCACACTCCTCAGGAGGGAGCCCTGCTTGCTGTCTCCAGCCCTCCCTCCTACTCTTTCCGGAACCCCTTCCACCCAAACCCATCCTGTCTGGGTCCCCAGACAACCCCCATGGCACCAAAGGTCTGTGTTCTTCCACCTGTTTGGAAAACTTGCCACTGTGGCTCACTCTTTTAATTGATAAAGAAACTTATGTCTCCTTCCAGGAGGCAGGGAAGTCAAGGTCAGGGGCCACACCTGGTGAGTGCTTCTTGCTGGTGGGGGCTCAGCACAGGGAGCCCCATGGGGAGATAGTGTGCACAGGCCAGCTTAGGGCTCATCTCCTTCTTATGACACACTCATGCCATCAGGGTCCCCACCCCGACCTTGTCTAATCCTGGCCACATCCCAAGGCCCCACCTCCAAATCCCATTAATTTGACTTTAGAGATTAAATTGCCAGCACAGGAGTTCCAGGGACACACCCCAGCTATAGCACAGCGCGGCTTGGGGCTGTGCCTTCAGTGGCACAGGGCACCTTCCTCTCCTGGGCTCATCACTGCACCTCCCTTGCTGGGTCCTGTTGGCCCTCGGGGACCTCTCCTCAGTCCTCACTCCTGTTTCATACCCGTGTCCACACTATCCCCAACCTGCCCCCTCTCAGGGCTACGCCTGCACACAAGTGTGTGCACCCCCAGGTGGACCTCTGCCCTGAATCCCAAGCACCCCACTGCCCAGGCAGCATCTCCCCTTAGGTTCCCGCTGACAGTTGCCCAGAATACATCCAAGCTGGGCTCCTCATTTTCCCTTTTAAACCGGCTCCTCCTACATATCCCTGACCTCTCCCTCCTTCCAACCACTCACCAAACCCAGGGGTCCCCTGCGCTCCTTCACACCCATGCTCCATTAGCAGTCCTCCTCATCCTCCCACCAGATTTCTCCAGAATCCAGCCTGGCTCAGTCTCTGCTCCTACCCTCGGCCCCACCGTCTGCTATAGACCCAGCGGAGGGACACATCCCAGGTGCATCTTCCCACACTGCCCCTGTCCCCTCCCATGTCCTCTCTGTGCTCCAGCTCCATCACCTCCTTGTTTCCCCCTCAGCTCTCCAGGCCCACTCTGTCCACAGCCTTGGCCTCAGTGCCTCCCATTCCACAGCCTCCACATGCCTTTGCTGGAAGGGACCTTCCCCTGTCACCTGCCTAATATCACAGCCTTCCCTGCAGGACTTACAGTGTCCCTTTCCTGCTTTGCTATGTTCCACATCAGACAGCACCATCTACTATAAGGAGTTTGCATTTTTGCATTCATTGTTGTCCCACCCCTGTCTCTCAGCGGAATGTAAATTTCAAAGGGGTAGAAATGTGTTTTGCTCATATCATCGTTCCAGGCCCCTAGAATATTACCTAGCACAGAGGAGGAAGTCAATAAGTATTTTTGATGTTTGCTGAGTTTGTGTGAAGTATATTTCTGATACCATTTAGGTGCCTTTGTAGGTCCCAGTCCTTACTGGAGTAACCACTTGTCCTGAAGTTGACACCTTCATCCTTCCCACCCACATTTTAAAACATCGGCTGTGTATGTGTGTGCTATAACCACGTATAATAAGGATTTTGTGCTTTGAAGAGTTACATGTCATTTTTTTACTCAATATCTTGTATTACAGGTTTACCCATATTGATACATATAGATCAAGATTCATTTTAACAGATGCTTGGTATTCAAAAAGTATTCTATCATTTATTTTCCATTGATTTGCACTTAAGTAATTTCTAACTTGTCAGTGTTACAAGCAAATTGCTGTGGGTACCCTTGAACTGTCTTCTTGTCACCTGCCACTATATCTTTGTCCTTCTCTGGGGAGTGGACACCAGCTGCCTCACTGCATCTTTGGCACACTTGTCCCTACCTCCGCCATTGTCACAGTGCTCTCTTGAAGGTCACAGCAGTGCCTCTGCAACAGCAGTTATGAAGAAACTGTTCTCTGACGTCTTTGCCCACTTTTTGTATAAGTTTGTGTCAGTCGGATGGAGATGAAACAGTGTCTTGATTTCATTTGTATTTCCACTCCTGTCCATGAAGCCAGGCATTCTTTTCATAAATTTATTTAGTCTTCTGTGAATTGTCTTTTTCTGTTTTTCTACTGAGTTATTTTTCACTTTCTTGTTCATTCTGGACTTCTCTGCACGTGTTCTACATACTAACCCTTTGTCTATTATTAGTATTACAAACATCTTCTCCTAGTCTGGCAGGTCTTTTAACTTTATAGTTCTTTTGTAGAAGTTTGTGTTGTTGATAGTCAAACATATCAGTCTTTTCCTTTGTGATCTGTGCTTTTCTATCTTAGATATCCTTGCTACTACACTCAAGGTCAGAAGGATATTTTTGTGTTTTCTTATAAAACTTTTCAACTTTTGCTTTTCACATTCAAGTCTTTAATCCATCTAAGATTAATATTTGTGGTGACTGCAAGGGAGAATTTAAAATTTTCCCCCACAAAGACAAGATTTTCCCACAAAGGTTGTAGGGTATTTTGTCCCCCTTTCTCCACTGGTTTGTAAGGCCACTTTCATGTGCATACGAGGCTGCTCTATGCTCTTGGTCCTTTTCATTGGTCTCTGTTCTTTTAGTTTCATAAAAGCCTTGATTTCTTTTTTTTTTTAATGGTACCGGGGATCGAACTTGGGACCTTGCGCTTGCACAGCAGGCAGCTGAACCACTGAGCTAAATCCCTGGCCCCAAAAGCCTTGATTTCTAGTAGACTAAGCCTTCCCTACTTGTTCAAGACTTCTTGGTTGTGCTTTGTTCTTCCATATGAATTTCAGAATATTTATGAAATTCTCAAAATCCTGCTGGAAGTTTGATTGGAATTGCCTTTACTTTATAATTTAGTTTCTGGAGAATTGCCATCACTGCAATACTGAGCCTTTCTAGCTATAAGAAGACTTGCTTACTGAAGACTTCTGTATGTGGTTGAATAAGAATTTGCTATTTTCTCATGGTAGTTGCTGCTTCTCTTAGAAGTGAGATTTTTAGAATTAAATACATATTTTGAATAGTAGTTACAGGGAGTATGCTGTTGCCTTGAGTTTAGTAAAAGAGAAATTTTGCTCTTATTGAGTCTATGAGTTATTTAGATGCTCTTGGATTTTTTATGTGAACATTTATACCTTCCACAATTAACACACAAGTTATCTCTTCTTTTTAAATTTTTATAACTTTAAAGTATGGTTTACCAGTTTAGCTAGGACATTGTTGAATAGCAACAGTGATACTTGGCATCCTTGTCTATGGACAGCATATATTTTTAGAGTTTCTG